CTCCTTGAACCTCTTCGAAGGCCACGCGAAAAAAGAGTGGACCCATTTCGAAAATGCTTCGCAACCCTACGCCCTAAACCCCTGAACCGTAAAGCCTGAGGCCGAACTGAGCTCAATCAGCCTCAGGGTTCAGGTTTTGGTTAATATTTTAGGCTTTTGGGGTTTAGGGTTGTGCGGTTTAGGGTTTAGTTTAGGATGTAAGGATGCATGCTAACTTCAACTCGTCATGAAGTGCAAAGCGTTAATTTTCGAGCCTTTGCATCTTCAAAGTGTGAGCCCGAACGAGCAAACATGGAGGGTTTAGGGTTTAGGGACAGACTGTAACCTTCATCTTCTTGAGTGACTTGAGTGTTCTTTCGTCGTTGCAGAAAGCCACGTTTTCATTGCTGGGAAAGGAATGTTGGGTCGCGTTTAGACATCCAGTCCCGGGCGACGTGCTTGTCTTTGCCGGACTACATGGCCTCAAATTGAAGTCAGTACGAGTTGGAAATAATTGGAACAATGATGCGTCTCAAGGGCACATGAGGAAACAGAGTTTCTAACTTTCTCAATTAGTGTGGTATAAGCAGCTGAGTAATTATAGGGCTTGAGGGTATATTACGGTATACAGTAAGCTGTCATTAAGGAACCAAAGGAATAGTCTTGGTAGTTTTTTCAGGCTGCTTCTACATAAGGGTTTCGCCAGCTGGGCTGCAGAGAAGATCCCGCGGCCCTCTCAAGGGAAGTCAGGGGGATGCGGAGCTTCCACGAGATCAGTGCGACAGAAGAGAAGGTTTAGGGTTTAGGGTTTAGGGTTTTAGGGTTTAGGGTTAAGGGTTTAGGGTTTAGGGTTTAGGGTTTAGGGAGTACGATTGACCGTCCAATCCAGCCGGGCCGACATCAGAAGTTTGATCTGATATTCGCGGTCGGAATATGATGCTTATATGCCCTAGGGCCAAAAAAAATCATAGCATGACACATCACCCCAAGACCCCGTTTTTAATATGAAGGCCCCGAAGTTACCACTGCCACAGTAAAGTTGCCTGCCATAGATCATGCTGGAACAACGGACTGACTGACAAAGCGAGCTCTAATCATAATCCTTAAGATGACCCTTACAGGACACGCTTGTAGATAGAGTAACCCTTGTGGTCGTAAGCCTTTGGTGACCCTTCCCATTGTACCCCCTCCAGCTGAACTGAAGCCTAAATTAATGCGCCCGGCCTAGTTCAGCACCGCATTTCAGAGACAGTAATACCATTTCCCCAAATCGTGCATGGGCAAGTGGAGGGGTTTTAGCGTTTTTTGGTTTAGGGTTAGCTGGTCTCACCCGTCAAACCCAATGGTCTTGCTGCGACCGGCATCGCGTATGACATGACATGCTGTCGGCTAATCCTGGACCCCTTAAGGCCTGGAAAAGCTGGGTGTAGGCTTCAGGGCACACAGTTCGCCGTAAATCCGAAACCATAACCCGAAACCCTCCGCTCTAAACCATAAATGCTACTCCCTTGCAATCCCTCGACATGTCTGGCTGAAGGCATATAAATACCCCAGACCATATCCCAACAATTCAGGCCCTCATCTCTAACCATCAGAATTTAGGGTCAAGGGTTTAGGAAACCCTAAACCCTAAACCCCTAAACCCTAAACTTAAGAAGCCTGAAGGCGTGGACGGCATCTTAGGAGGTTCCGGCCCGACTTTGCCACAACCCCAGACGTGGGGGAATGCATGGAAAGTAGGTCGCCAGGCTTAGAGTGTAGAGGCTTAAGGACATGGGATTCGGAGTTGAAGGTTTAAGGTTTTGGTGGAGGTTTGCTCATTTCGATTTTTGTCTCGGGTTTGGGCGTATGCAGGTCTGTAACCCCCCCAAATCCCTAGGCCCCTGAGCCTTCAACCACTGAACCGAAAATCGCCCATCCCCAACAACCCAATCTCCCAACTCTAAAGCCCTGAAGCCTAAATCCCGAAGCACAAGACCCTAAGCCGTAAGGCTGCGGGTTTGGAGCCAGGGCCAAAAAGCCACGCTCTTGCGTAGGAGGCTGGATTTCGGGGTTTCGGATTCAGGGCACGAATCCGTGGAGCTTCGGGCATGTGAGAGGTTGGGGAATCTAGAATCTAGAGTGCAATGTTCCACTGCAAAATTTGCCTAAGAAGTCGGAGTTACTGCAAGACAATTCCTTGGAGTTCCTATCATAGTCTTAGGCAGAGGTATGTACCCTGAAGCTCCATTCTGATTACTAGGGCCCCGATGTTGCTGTCGTTGAAGAGTTTGGAGCCTAGGGTACAGGATAACCCGGAGCCTAAACCCTCATCCCTATTAAACTTTAAACCCCAAGCCCTGAACCCTAAACCCTGAACCCTAACCCCCCCCCCCCTCCAAAAAAAGAAAGAAGGAAACACACCCCAGGAACTGAGACTTCTCAGGTCGTGTCGGAACACTACACTGTGGCATTTGCTGCTCCAGCGCGTGAATGCAACACGCCACTGGGTGGCAACGGGACTTCGGGGTCCGGGGGTATCAGATTCGGGGTAGTTAGCCTCAAATTCCAAACCTACTAGTTAATCGCAATCCCTCTGTTTTTTTTTTTTTTTTTGGGG